CGATTACATAGTTCTTATTATCAATATTGAGCACTGAGCCCAGCATTGATATCACATTATGTAAGCTAATAATATAAAGCAAATGATATATAAAAACTAGCCATGAAATGTCTTCTCCATTGACAGCTTTTGAAAATCTTGTTCTACCATGTTTTTGATCATATTCCCAATCACGTATCACTTGTCTAACTTCTGTATCCTGAACTGGTCCATCCCATGCTGCATCTATCATGCTGCACCTATGAACTTGTATGACCACGTAGTTTTTGTGAGGTAATTCTCGAGTTCTAAATCTGTCATGTGTTGCTCCTCTAGGTTGGCACCCTTCTTGGTAAGTCTCATTGTATGTATGCAGTGGAAAGTATGTCCACAATGCAGCCCTTTCATCCAAATTTGATTGCCAAAAGTCCCCGTCCAGCAAGATATCGACCAAAATTCTGGGTAGGATTTGCTTGCATATGCACTGCTGTGACAGTTGGTCGTATGATCTCTAGCTTTCCTCTGTGTTGTCTATTGCTTGGCACCCTTCTTGAGATATAGTAGTGTCAATATGTACTGATGCTTCATTGCTAAGTACACCCACAGCTCCCATAATTGAGTTCAAAAATCCCAGGTCTCGTGTGAAATTGCTGGGCATGAAATTGCATACTCCCCTACTTGTGCCTCCTACTGCTACTCCTTCAAGGGAATGAGCAACATGTGCTAATACCACCCTTTGAATTAGCAGCATATAGGAGGGCATTGTTACAGTGTCTTTTCCTGCAAAAAAGAAAACAAGATTAGAGTAAAAACTGACCATCATGGCCTCCACCCAAAGGATTTGGTTCTGATGATCTACAGTATTATGCTTTCCTGTAAAGCTCATTGCCTGACTCCCTGTATGTGATGCCCAAAGAATTGGGTGTACTTGTGTTTTCCACCACCCCTCCTTTGGCTTGGTGATCCCCAGACTGTCCCTACTCCTCGATGGTTCATCTGACACTGCATTATGGACAGTTCTGGGCAACCTCCTATAGTGATGGTTCCAGTAAAACTTGTAGAAACATTGATTACCAAAAATCCTCCTTGCTTCCATGCTTGCCTGGCTCCCTGTATTTACTGTTTGGACTACAGCGTCTATGTATACAATTGCTGTCCTCAGCTGTAGCAAATTATTAGCCGTGTGCTCTGCAATCACCATACACGAAGTTGTCCTGTTCACCCTTGATATCATGTGTTCTCCAGTGGTGTACTGCTTTAATCTTTGTGTGGCACCATTCTTGAGGTGAATGTGAGCAAAATGTACTGAAAAGTGACTTCCCAATACCTTTATATTTCCCAGTAAAAGCTGCCACCAAACGACACTGCCCCATGCCAAAAAATTGGGCAGTCTACTCCTTTGCTCCTTTTTTTCCATGCTTGTGCATACCATGATTTCTCCTTCAAGGGAGTGAGTACAATGTACTAATACCACCCATTGAAATTGAATATCATGGTAAGGCATGATCACAATAACGTTTCCTACAAAAAAGAAAACAAGATTAGTGAAAGAAGTGATCAACACCATCTCCTCCATAAGGAATCGATGATGTTGATTCTGTTTGTGTACCACCTCCTTAATCCATCTCCTTGAACTCCTCTCCATCTCCTCTCTTACTGCCTCGATACCTTGACCCTCAAATATGGGCATTGAAGTTTATCTACATTGATCAATCTCCTGCCTTGTGAATCAAGATGGTGGAAAGCATGACATTCTATGATTCCTTGATCAAGGGCATAATTTGCCAAATGGTCTGCCAGCTTATTCCCCTCCCTGAAAATGTGAGTTATTCTACCATTGCACATGACAAGCAATTGTTTTATCCTCTCCACTTGTTCCTTTATGACCCAAGGAGGTTTCCAATTCCCCTCAACCACATTCTTGAGCAACATAGAGTCAGTTTGCAACCATATGTTAGAGATCTCATTATCTACGCAATAGTTCAAAGCCTCCAGTATTGCCATCGATTCTGCCTGAGTATTTGTCACCTGTTGGATTTCCTTACCACATGCATACATCAAGTCACCATGCTCATTCCTCAAGAAAAATCCAATTGAACTCCTCCCTGGATTACCCCTTGAAGCCCATCTGTGTTGATTTTTGTCCATCCATGCATAGGAAACTCCCATAGAACCTTGCTAATCTTCAGCCTAGGAGTGTAATTCTCCATCATTCTAAGTATATCTGGCCATCTAAATGGCACTTGAACTATTCCTGGCTTTCTCACCTTAATGAGAGACTGGATAGTAGAGCAAACTTGGTACACCACTCGATTAGTAGTCACTGGCTCTCCATGCTTATTACTATTTCTTCTTTTTCATAGCTCCCACACAATGATACTAGGTAATGCTTGAAAAATAGGTTTGAGTCTGGGAATTACCTTCACTATCTAACACTTCAGAATAGCTTGATGTAATGATAATCCCTCCAAAGATAAGCCAGCATATGAAAAAAATATAATTCCATACTCTTGAGGCAGTGAATGATCGAAAGAAGACATGCCCCATTGATTCTTCATTTGGCATTATACAACACCAACATTTTGATGGCATAAAGTACCCCATTCTTCTCAATGTATCATCAAGAGGTAATTTTCCTTTCCATAGCTTCCACATAAAGAACGATATTTTAAAAGGCAAACCCTTAACCCATATATTAGCATACGTAATGGCAGTATCTCTTCTCCTTCTCAAGTATTCCCATGCGGATCTCACACTGAAATTCCCCTTAACTTCTAGACTCCAAACGGGCTTGTCCGGCTCCTCATACCTAGCTGGGCATGGAATGTTCTCCAGAATATGTGTAGCCAAATCATTAGGAAGTATTTCCTTAATCCTCTCATCATTCCACCTTCCTTCTATCACCACATTGTTAACATTATTTATTGTTTCATCACAAAAGAAATCTGGAGGTGTGACAAAATATAGTGATCCCAAACCTGTCCAATTGTCAAACCAAAAAAGGGAAGATCCCATTTTTAGTTTCCATTGAATTTGATGCTCAATAATGTCCCTACATTCTAACATTTTCCTCCAATTATGTGAGCCACCTCTCTAAGGCACCACCATGGCATTCAACTTCTTACAATATTTCTGGCTCATAAAGGAGCTCCATAGAGAAGGCTTGGTCCTGAAGTTCCACCATAATTTACAAAAGAGCGCCTTAGGCATGTCATGTAAAGATCGAAATCCTATACCTCCTTCATCATAAGGCAAGCATAGGGTATCCCATGAGGCCCAATGTCTAGCTCTACCATCTATACAATTGCTCCAAAAGAACCTAGCAAAGAGTTATGTAATTTGTTGATCACATTGGCAGGTGAGTTCACAGCTGATAGTAAATGAACGGGCATGCTTTGTAGAACACTTGTGATCAATACTGCCCTTCCTCCGATTGATAAGAGCTTTTCTTTCCACGTTTGAATTTTGTCAAGCACCTTAGTGATCAAACTTTCATAAAAATCTATCCTCCTTCGTGAATAAAATATGGGGCAGCCAAGGTATGTAAACGGAAATTCTTTTCTCCCTATTCCAGTAATCCTTTCAATTTTCCTCACAACTTCTTCATTTGTTGAATGATGAACATATATGGCACATTTGGTCTTGTTGATCAATTGACCTGAAGCTATTTCATAGGCCTTCAAAACCTCTATAATTAATCTCAAAGACGTGGCATCTGAAGATGAAAATATGATTGTGTCATCTGCATAAGCAAGATGATTAATCTTAGGACTCCACTTAGGCAATCCAAAACAACAAAAATACAAGTTCAAATGTAATGCATTCAATCCCCTAGACATTGCTTCAGCAGCCAGAATAAATAATGAAGGTGACAAAGGATCTCCTTGTTTCACACTCTAGTCGACTTGAAGAAACCATAAGGTTGGCCATTATCAAGTACTGATACCAATTGTTAAAGACAATACCAAAGATTAGGCCAATAAATCTTTCTGAGAACCCCATTTTCCTCAATACTTTGGTGAGGAATAACCAGGATAATCTATCATAAGCCTTCATCATGTCAAGCTTTAGTACCACATTAGGGCCTGCCTTTGTTCTCAATCTGATGTCAATGATTATTTCTTGAGTAAGCAATATATTTTCTACAATACTTCTTCCTTTTACAAATCCTGCTTGTTCATCCGAAATAACATTAGGCAAGATATCTACCAGTCTCTCATGAACAACCCTCGATATAATTTTGTTGGTGAAATTGCTCAAACTTATTGGCCTCAAATCTGAAAAAGTATGCACATCTTTCTTCTTAGGTAATAGAACTAAATTTGTGTGAGTCACAAATTTAGGAAGTTCATGCCCACAGAAGAATGCCTTTACCATCTCTAATATATCAACCCCAATGATTTCCCAATAAGCATGGAATAGTTGCCATTGAAATCATCCGGTCCACACGCACTATCCCCATTCAAGCCAAATATTGCCTTTTTCACTTCCTCCATGGTTGGTATCAAAGTTAAATTCTGATTCTGCTCCTCATTCATCATTGTAGGAACATGATCTAGTATCCTAAAGTCATTAGGCACATTAGATTCATGAAACTGCTGCTGGAAGAACACCACTGCCTCATTTGCCATTGCTTCTTTATCTTCAATCCAATTTCCTTCACTATCTTGTATTCTTTTAAGCTGCAGCTTTTTCCTCCTCCCATTGACATGAGCATGAAATAGTTTTGTGTTTCTATCTCCATCCTTGAACCATGCCATACCTGCCTTTTGTTTCCAGAAATCTTCCTCTAATGCCCATACACGAATTAATTTAGCTTGCACCTTTTGGAATCTTTCCCGATTTTGAATGGTAGGGTTGAGTTCAAATTGAGCTTCATGTACCTTGACTACCTCCTCCAAGCTTGCTATTTTCTGAAAAATATCCCCAAACATTGCCTTACTCCATAAAGATAAGGCTTTCTTCAGTTTCTTCATCTTGACGTTAAACATAATGAATAGACTGGCATGAAAATCTGCATGCTAGTTTTCTCGAACAATGTCTAAGAAGGTGTCATATTTCAACAAGAAATTGAGAAATCTGAATGCTTTCTTAATTGGAGCAATGCTTGGATTACAACTTAGGAGCATTGGACAATGATCAGATCCAATTTTGGATAGGTGATTGATCTCCAAAGCTGGCCAGAATTCTTGAAGTTCCGTATTACCCAAACAACTATCTAGTCTTTTGAATATACAATCTTCCTTAGCTCTCCCATTCCACCAAGTATATATACTTCCTTTAAAACCAAGATCAAATAAATTACATGTATTAACACAATGCCTGAAGACATCAATCTCATTAATATGAACTGGAAGCCCCCCAAATTTGTCTTCTTCATCCCAAATTACGTTGAAGTCTCCTCCAACTAGCCATGGCAATGTCATATCACTTGCTAAAGCATAAAGAGTATCCCATAGTTCAATTCTTTCTATTGCATCGCATTTGGCATACACTAACGTAATTATAAACTCCTTGTGTTCATCAGTATCAATTAGCTTCAAGGTTAGTTGTTGCTCCATATTAAAAAGGATTTCAAAATCATATCTCTCGCCAATGAATACCCATATTTTGTTGGAAACATTAATCACTGCTTGTTCAAAACCCAATCTCCTTCTATGTTGATCCATCTTCTTTGCTTGTTGTTTCGGCTCCATTAAGGCAATAAAATGAATTGGTACTGCCTATCCATTGTAATGACTCTCTCAAAGGCCTGCATCATATTGACTGACCTGATATTCCAAATCAAAGCATTCATCATTAGATTAGTAATTTGGATATGGTTCTTCTCGTTTGAACTCCAGGAGCTTGCACCCCATAATTATCCTTAGCTTGTTTTCTTTTACCCCTCCCAGTAGATTTCCCTTTTTCAATTTGCCTGGAGAATCCACCTTGTCTTTCCACGTTCATGAAGTTCTGATCAGTCGATTCTTCATCCATATCCTTTCCTTTCGCTTGTTGATCCTGTTCTTCTCCTTCATGGTGATCGTGTCCTATAATCTAATTCTTTGTTGATTCAACCATCAAGTCCTTGCTAATATTGTCGTGCTGCACCAATCCAGTTGTAGCAACTGTATTTTTTGGACTTAGTACTCCTTCCTTAACTGCTAACTTTACTACTCTATTACCTGGGCAAGCAACTTCAAAATTCTTCTGTGTATCATTTACCCTTTCCTTCAATGCACTGTCATGTTGATCACCTGGGTCAATTGGCTGGGATATGAGGTTGGAAAATTTGGTAGGGTCTACTGTAGCATTATTCTTTGTGGAGCTAGTGTTAGAATTAGGATTATGAGTAACGATTTGGTTAGATATAGGAGCTGGATTATGGCTAGTGGTTTGTGATTGGATAGAAGCTTTGTCAACAACATGCTCATCAGTATTGCCTTCATCAACACCTTGCACCTCAACTCAATTACTCTTGGCCTTAACACTTTGTTCTTCCACTTCTGGATCATCTTCTTGTACTTCCTCTACATCTTCATGACCTTCTAGGAATTCACCTTCATCAGATTCCTCTTCAGTTTGTTCACTCCAAAATTTACCTTCTTGGAAATTCACACGTTTTCTTTGAATTCCCTGTTCCGGAATAACACTTGTATCAAGAGATTGAAATGGGATTTCTTGACAGGATTGGTTTGTGGTAACATTGTGTGCAGCAAACACTCTACTAACCCATTGTGAAGTTGATTCCTTAGGCCCTTTATCTTTTGGAGTAAGACTCGCACCTACCTTAGCCACTTCAACAGTAGCATTAGGATTGAAAGATACTGCTGCTGCATTTAAATTCCCAGTTTTGATTGAGCTAAGTGTAGGACTTTCCACGACATTACCTTGATCAACTATTGCCAGCTGTCTCTCCTTTACAATTACTTCATCAACTTTGTTTGATTCTCTCCCAACTCTTTTAGGTGTAGGACTACTACCTCTGCTTTGATCTACCAATGCCAGCTGATTATTTGCTTCATTATCTCCAGAATTTTCCGACAATGTAGCAAATTTGTTATTAATTTGCACAGCTTCTACTGGGACTATTTCTTTCCCAGAATTATTATTATCTTGATCCACTTGATTCCCAGATTTCTTCACTCTATTATCACGCACCTACTTCCATTGCTCACCTAAGTTTCCAACAACTTTCCCACTTGATAGAATCATCAGTGGAGCAGCTTGTTTGACTTTTTCCTTGTTACCTTGTACCACAACTTCATTAGCAATCTGCTGCTCTACAGTTTTGTTTTCCATTAACTCCGGGTAAATTCTCCAACATTCAAGCATGTCATGGCCTTGTAACTTACACTCTTTACAGTACTTCAACAAATAATTGTATCTGACTGTCACCCACTCAGTTCTAACATCTCCTGTTGCCTCATTCACGATATCCATACGCACCTTTTTAGGAAGATCCTGTAAAAGGTCAACTAGCACCTTAACTTTTGCACAACTTGGCCTTGTCTTATTAATCGCAGCCAAATCAAGATGAAGTGGCTTTCCCACCGCAGAAGCCAACGAGAAAAGGCATTCTTTAACGAAATACGTTGGTAGCAAATTTGGAAATGAAATCCACGCCATTACCTTAGGTGTTTCCTCCCCGGCTTTGAACTTCGCATCATAGATCAAAGTTCTCAATTGGTATTCATGGCCATACTTATCTTTCACATAATACACACCCTTCGACGTAAAATCAATAAAATCTTGCCATAACGTCAATCGTATTAACACATGTTTGTCACGAAGGTACCCAATATTGCACTCGCCTTTAATTCCACATTGAAGCGGGACAATTCGACGCAATTCATTAAGCTCAGGCCACCCATACGAGAATTTACAAACTACCGCATATTGCAAACCTTCGATCACGTTCATTCGATCAACCTCTTCTTCAGTGAACGTTACCATGGGCTGTCCTTGAAGAATAACTGCTCGATGCAATGGAATAGGATCAACAGAACTTTGTTTTGACGAAGTTCCATTAACTGTTGCATTAATCGCTGCTGGTTTCAGGATGTTCGAATAATCTAAGGGTTTGGGTATTGTTGAAGTGTTGTTAGGGATGGAGAGGGATGCTTGGGAGGGCTGACTAGCCATGGAAGAAGGCTGGTCGCCGGCCGGAATGGCCATTGACAACCACAGGGAGCTGTTCGAGGCAGTCTTCTCTAAAATCTCCTGTCGCCAGAGCTAGGGCAACTTTAGTTTTTCAAATTGCCAACTTTAGACAAATAGTGTCGAATTCTTCTTACTCCACCATTTCAGCTTCCTCCATTGGAGGGTTGACTCGTGCTGCCTGTTCTCTCCACCGGAAACCATACTCCTTGAAGCTCTCACTAGGCTTTTTCTCTATCTTAGTCAAGGACAGGCGATCTGGGACAATCTCTACGTTGTACTAGAAATGCTGAGCGAAAGCCTGAGCCAAGTCATCCCAGGTGTACCATCTGCTGTTGTCTTGGCGATTATACCACTCCAATGCTGCACCACTCAAACTTTGACTAAAATATGCCATTAACAGTTCATCCTTCCCGCCAGCACACCTCATTTTGCTACAAAATCCTCTTAAGTGGGCTACAGGGTCTCCATGCCCGTCGTACAAGTCAAACTTAGGCATTTTGAATCCGACAGGTAGCTGGACATCAGGAAACAGACATAGATCTTTATATGCCACACTCACTTGGCCACCTAACCCTTGCATATTTCTCAGTGACTGCTCCAAGCTCTTTACCTTCCTAAATATCTCCTCTTGCTCTGTGTTTTTGGGTAGCTTCTCAGTTTCGGCAGGAAGGTCAAAGTGAGGAGTGTAAGAGTAATGATATGGGACTTTGAAGGTAGGCTCAGGGGCATAATATTGGTTATCTTGGGCTTGGAATGCCGGCTCACTGGAAGATCTATGGAGGGTAGCTGGTGGAGGTGCTACGAAGACAGGGGCAGCCGGCGGAGCAGGGTGGGTGGTTGCTTTGGCTGGTGGAGCTTGGATGGCTTGGGAAGAGGTGCTAGGATAGTGATGGTAAGGGGTGAAGCTCGGTGCATGTTGTGGGGATAGATCAACAATGGTGGGCTCTTGAGACTGAGCTAGTGGTGGGATGAAAACAGGGTTGGCGGGGTATGACGGTGGAGGATGCCCCTTCATCCATGCCTGGTACATTTCGGCCATTTGGTGCTTCAACTTATATACCTCTTCTTTCAAACCAGACTCAGATTCCTCCATCTCTTTTGGCGGGTCAATAACACTTGCATCCAATTCTTTGCTAGCCATAATCACCTTGTGTTTAGACCTGGTGTTGTACGGGTGACTTGCCAGAATGCCAAACAAACTAACCACCTTCCTGTTCTCAATAACAACAACAAACTTGTTAGTGTTTAAATGTTTAACAGATAGGCAACCGCACGTTTAGGACGCAATGCACCTAAACAGTTAACCACTTCTATTATGCATTTGAACGGTTGCATGCTTCATCCCGGCCTTAACGAACTCTTTTCACTTTGCACTTTTTCTTCTCTCTTTCCTTTTCATTCCTGCCTTTCTTTAGTCTACTATTGATTTTCCCTACATGGTTCTTGTTGC